AAAATTGATAACTAATAAGTGGTGTGATAATTAATAATTATTGGGTTGGATTGGAGCAGGTTACGGTGGTGATGAAGATCTACTGGGGCGATGCCCGTGAGAAGATTCTTGAGGCTATTGACAAGACCCCCTTGAGCTTCCTTGTTATTGGAAGCAGAGGCCTTGGCAAGATTCAGAGGTACATATTCATATACATTATAATTCATAGCATGTTTTCGATTTTAATTTGAAATGAATTGCACCGTGCAAAAGTTGCAGTTAACTTGATAGTTTAATGAACAGAGAAACTGTGTCACTAGTACTACGGTTTAGTAAGTGGGAGGTTATAGGTTAAACTCCCTGAATGACGATCGAGTTTGATACCAATTTATTATGTTGGCCAATTGTGTGGCATAATTCAATTTTTCCACCCCTTCAGTGTAAAATAGCTTTGTGTATTAAAAATGGACACAGGAATTGTAAGTTTAGGGGTGGTTTTTGAAATTTTTTTATGATACGTCTACTAAATTTACAAGTTAACTGGCTAAAAACAGACTTAGAATTTCTGTTTGTGTTTTGGGATTGTTGTGTACATGTGGTGGAGTTGGTTGAGGATGTGTCATTCTTTTCCATGGGAAATTATTCTGAACCTTTTTAAGAATCTGCTTTTAGTTGACTGTATGTATCTTTGGATTCAATGTTTAGGATTATGATTGGATTTCGACGTGCTTGTTGTTTTTGCAGGGTTATAATGGGCAGTGTCAGCATCCATATCGTAAATAATGCTTCGTGCCCAGTTACTGTCGTCAAGAGTCACTATGAGTCTCATGACAACTAAATCCTTTGTCCTCAATGCCTGCTTGGTGAATAAGTAGAATGCATCAATTGCTTCCTTTCTTGCAGCTGCAAGCCTTTTAGTTTGCACAAGATTTAGTTTTTATCTGAATAAGATCTAGTTAACTTATGGTTTCAGCTGTTTGTTGCTGTATGTTGGAGTTGGACAAATTTGATGTACCTATATCGGTACATTATATGCATTTGCTACCGTATATAATGTGAATTCAAGTTGTTGTCCAAGATGTTGATGCTAGTTGACCTTGAGTTTAGCCCAAGTGGTGAGGAACAAGGAAGAGTAAAGGGTTAGGGTTAGGATTAGGATCGGCCAGGGTTCGGGGTAGTATATTAGGGTTAGGGTCGGTATGTAACAACAAACAACAAAAACAAGCTTAAGCTCTTCTTTTATAAGGTATGCAGTGCACAAAATAGCCGAGTAGAGAGAGAGAGAGAGAGAGAGAGAGAGAGAGAGAGAGAGAGAGAGAGATCATCCTCCTATTATAGGAGATTGAATTCTAGTCCCCTAATTTGAAAGCCAAAACTGTGAATACAAATAATGTGTTAAGTTAAATTCCATTGATAGCCAAACAATATAAGGCATTATTCACCAATCACACACGGTGGTTATTATCTTGTTTCAAAAATGATATATTGCAGAAAGCAAATGTAAGTGTTAACAAGAGAGAGAGAGAGAGAGAGAGATGAATTTTCACTTGTATTCCTTCATAACAATAATTACATTACAATGTGGTATTTATAGCTTATACTAATACCAACACTCCTAACTAACTCCATACATCAACCAATCACAATATGACACATGTCATTCTATCTAATACACTAATCATATCTGTCAACCTATCATCACACACAGTGGTTATTATCTTGTATCAAAAGCCTCCCATTCTTTCATTTTCTTCTCTTCGAATTCCTTCCACCCTACAAACAAATTCAGAAACAACAATGGATCCAAGGTGCTATACTCAAACGCCTCTCATCATCTTATTCTTCTTCATTTTCGGCTTTATAACTCCCGCGAAAGCTGTATGCAAGCCCCGGGACTTGAAACTGAGGTACCTAACTTGCAGGCTTCCGTGCCTCCTAGTAAGCCACAGCCGGGTCAAGTCTTCCCTTCATCGCGGTCAGCAGGCCCCCCACCAACCCGTAGTCCTACTCCGGCCCCCGGCCCCAACTCCCTCCCCAAACCCTCCTTCACAGCCTCCACAAGCATCACCCCCTGCTGGCAATTCATTTTCTCCATCTTCCTCCTCATCCTTTCTTCGCCGTTCTTCTGTCAGCCCGCGCGGAAACCTCTTTGCGCAGCCTTTTGTTCTCAACACGGCCTCATCATCAACCCCTCCTAACCCGGCGATCCAAGAACTATGCAAAAACACCGACTACCTTGATCTTTGCATCTTATCCCTGACCCCTTTCCAACCACCCAAGGTTGACCCCGTATCCGCGCTTGGGATGGCAATCAAGGTTTGCACCGCACACGCCCAGATGTCTCTAGCCGCAGCCTCAAAACTTCTGACAACGCCTAACACTGCACGTGGAACGATCGCTGCTCTCAGTGATTGCAAGGACATGTACTCTAATGGACGGCCTTCAGAGCGCCATTGATGCAATCCAGAGCCACGACATTGGCACGATTAATAGCATGCTTAGCAGGGTGGTAACCGATGCTGTGCCGTGTGGGGACGGGTTTGAAGGAGAGTAATCTCCGCTGGGTGATTACGACGACAAGCTTCGTAAAATGGCTAGCAATTGCCTTGCCATTGCTTCCTTGATCAAGTGATGATCAAGATCTCTCTGTATATATATCTTCAGTTCCTTCCCTTTTGTTTTGTGCTGTTTCTTGTTGTACAAGAAAAGCATCTCACATAACTAGCAAATTGATAAGAATAGAGATGTAGGAATACATAAATTAAAGCTTACATTTTGTACTGTAGCATGTATTATTTGTCTTTATTTCTTGAGAAGCATTACACCTAGCCTACAGGATTTACTTGTATATATGCTATTATGCAAATTCACTTTTTTTTGTATCACATTCATTTCGGGGTATAGGGATTTGAAACTTGAAAGAATGTGTTTGAATAGGGGATCTCAAACCAAAGATTTGGAGTATTTAAATTTTGTGGTTAATTGTTTCATGAGATTTTGATAATATTAATCAGTTCATCGAATCCACATATATTTGATTATTTAAGGGTATAAACTTTGAAGAAAATTATTATTAGCACTCTTAAAAATGTCTATTATGTCTGTACACCTCTCTTATTAGAAAATTAGAGAGTGATGTTCGTAGAGCAAATGAAAAAAGGGAGAAATTGTATTTCGAGAACTACATCACTTATTCCACTATGTTTGAAGAGTACTTGATCGAGATAAAAGAGAAACAAATAAGAGATAAAGAGTTATGTCAACCATTCAACTATACATCTTTCTATCTACATCTTCTTTTTTGTTGATATTCGATAATAAGGGAGGAGCAATTATGAAAGATCTGGAATGCTCATGTAAAAATATTTAATCACTCGAGTTATAAGCTCCTTACCAAAAATATTAATGTTACAAATACGTAACAAAAATCGTCCTTTTGAAAGTAGACAATTGAGACACAAAAGTTAAAAAAAAAAAAATTATTTACAAGAATACTTCTTTATGAGCAAGGATAAATAATATAAAAAAATGGAAACAGCTAGTCTGTAGCTTTAATTCGAGAAATATTCAAAACTAATCTTAACTATGGAAAATTGGATCCTAAGTTGAATGCAGAAGACACACATGGGTTAACTAACTTTAGTTATGTCGAAATCTACAAAAAACTAGTACGTTCTTCCATGGCTAATCAAGGTAAGCAGTGCTTTGATTCTGGACCGTCAAGGCCAATATCTTGCACGACATCACCGTTGAAGAGAATTATCATTTAGTATTATAATTTAATGATATTTATTTTTACTTATAAATAAATAATCTTAGGTTTAAATTTTGTGAATGACGACTTTGTCACTAATTCATACCCCATCCCATATTGTAAATATCTATTGTGAATGCAAATTTCCGTCTTCTTTTTTGACGAAAATGCACCTGCAAAACAATCAACACCTAAGATCAGGGTCACATTTGATCTTGATTGAGCCGTTATTGTCCATTGCATGAGCATGGAAATCCTGATGTGTCTCAAGAGTAATTTTGTATTTTATTATAAAAATCCACGTGTCGTCTCTATAATTTTTTTGATTATTTTTTGGTCCACATACACAGTATTAAAAAAAAAAAAAAAAGTCAGCAGTGTTTCCCGTTTGTGCTTGGCAGGTCTAGCCTCAAGTATTGAGTTTGACCGCTTGAGCAATATTCCCAAGCCTACGACTGGTTTCGTACACAAAATAAAGGAGGTTGATTCTCTGCCCTCTCATTTTCATACTCTTTTTATCACTTTTTATTTTATGTGGTTATGGTTAAGTTACGTCAACATTTTATATTCCTATTACTTTTTGTTTTATTATTTTTATAAAAAAATTAATTTAAAATATTGACGTGACTTAACCGTGACCAGACAAACAAAATGGGATGAGAAGAGTATGGAAATAGAAGGGCAGACAATCCACCTCACAAAATAAAAAGAATGGTGCTACTCATATATTTTTTCTTTCCTTCTTACGCATGTTCCGTTAATTTTTAATTGATTTTTTTATGGGATGTACTATCTACACCTCTTTTTACTTCTCACACACCCTTTGTTAATTTCTGTCCGTTGATCTTCTTCAATTCATTCGATCCAACGGTTGAAAATTAGAAGGGTGTGTAAGAAGTAAAAAAATATGTATGGATATCACTATCTTTTTTTATTTGATTCGATGATTAAAAATTAAAAAATATTAATTTTTATGTTTTGATATTTTTTTATTTAATTTGATGATTGTAAATTAAAAAGTATATAAAATATAAAAAAGACGTGCGGACAAAAACACCTAATAAAAAACTAATTGCATAGAAAGCTGCGCTAAGTAAATGAAGAAAAAAATAATAATAAAAATGATTTAGAATTTAGAATTTTAACTATAAAAATAAAATAAATAGTAAAGTAAATTGTAATATAATTAATTTTTTAATATAAAAATATAAATTTTTATTAGTATGATTTTTCATTAACGTGAACGAAAATTTTAGTTAAAGTTTCGAAAAAGAAGAAGAAGAAAGTGAGGAGATAATAATCCACTTTCATGCTTTACCAAATCAAGACCATTCCCAAAATGCCATAATCCCACTACTCTCGCACTCTCACTCACTGCATTTCAACCATTCGTTTCCATTTCCCCCGGTTAGGGTTAGGGTTTCTCCTGGCTCTTCCATCACTGTGCTTCCGCCTGCTCCCTGACTTCGTCAAGGTAATTATGTGCTTTTGACTTCGCTTTTTTAATTTCCAGTTTCCGCAATTTTCTTTTCTTTTATTTTCTTGTTCTCTGTTTGTTTCCACTGAAAATCTGAAATACCAACCCAGGATTCAAGAAAAGAAGCCAAAATGTTGGGAGTTACTTTCTTGTTTTTTTCTTTTGTTAGTTTTATGGTGAATTAGAGTACTGGACGTTAGTGGGGCCTTAATTTTCTGTTTGGTTGCTCAGAAAATAGGAAATAGGTGAAAGGAGGAAAACGTACTCCAAGTGGTTTGTTCTTACAGTTAATGTTGTCTAAAAAAACTAAAAAATCCATAGGGAGACCAAGGCAATGAAAATCTTTAAGCTTCAGTTTGGACCGTTTGGTGCTGTTTTTCTATTTCTGGCATCCTCATCAGTATCACTGGTGTGCTCATCCGTTTGGGAGTGCTTCTGTAGGGCTCATAAGCGTTTTTGGTAGAAGTGATTTTATTAGAAATACATTAAATTTATAAAAAAAAAATCGAAAGCCTCGTGATTAAGCACTTGGAAAAAGCGCTTCAATGACCTAGAAGCACGTTTAAGTTTTTCTGACAAACATGGTCAAACACTTTTAGTCCTCTAAGAAGCAGCCCCGGACATGCCCTAGGTGACTTGGTTTCTTTCATACAACTTGCTGGCGCTATTAGATTCATAGGTTCATCGTGATTTAGTTCTTACTGAGGGACTTGGTATTATTATCTTCCGGTTCACTGTGGGGTTTGTAAAATAATGGAATTGTGTTGATCTTCCACCCCTTGTTTTCTGAATGTTAGGTATCATAAAAAAACTGCAACTGTTTCGGCATAGATGGAAAGCTTCGGTGGCGCTGGGTTTTCGCCTGGAGGTTGCATTGTCAGGAAGAAGAGGAGTATCATATCACATAAACCTCGGTTAAATCCACCGACATTTTCACTCAGCTATAATATCCCTATTGGCAAAGGAACCATTGATGGGAATCAGAATAATAAGAAGAAAATAGTGCGTTCTGATGGATTGGGAAGTAAGAACAACCCGAAGAAGTTAAAGCTTAAGTTTGGAGGTGTTACTCGTACACTCAACACCAAGTATATAGCAGATGTTGGCAATGATGGTGGCTCGTCCACCGCTAAATCTTTAAGCTCTTTAGATGCCTTCACACCCCAACTGAATCCCCTTCCCCTTGCTCTGGTACCTCACCCTGATTCTCGTTACTATTGCAATTGTTGTCTCATTTTGTACGACCTGTACAGTGGAATTTATTTGTCACCCTGTCTGATTTTTCCAATGATTATTCTTTTAATTCTGTGTAATCACAACTGTAATGACAAGGAAATCTTTGAAAAGTTTCTAGTTCAGCGGTTGCTATTTGGTTTCAAAAGTTACCCCCATTTTTTTGTGTGATTTGTTCATGATTACATTGTAACAATGCCGTGTATCATAACATTATTGATGCAGGATGATGCAGGTGGAGGTGGGGTCAATGAGCCAGTTCGGAAGAGCAAGCGGGCTCCTAAGAGAAGCGCCTTGGATGCTGGATTTAATGAAGATGACGATGAAGATGAAGAAATCCGATTCCTTGGAAGACTAAGTGCATCTAAGGTTGCTCGTTCAGAGAGAATTCAAATGGACGTTCGCTTTCATGGATATGATAGTGGAGACTATAAATCATCAAGGCTAGGAACAGCTAGTAAAAATAGGTCAAGGTCAGAAAAAATGCACGAGGATAAAGAGTATTTGGGAGAAGACGATGAAGAAGAATTAACATCTGATGATGAACCTGAACCAAATGGGAAGAAGCTGAAAACAGGATCTCTTAGTCTACTTCTAGAAGGGCGGAAAGAATCAACCCTCACTACACGTAACCGGACCCTCCAGCCTGGAAAAGATATTTTACCTGGTTCAGGTTTTCTTGACATTGCAAGTGATTTGCTTTCTGTCCCATGTAAAAGTGCGCATATTCTTTCCGTGTCTGTTGCATAATTCTGATTATATTCATATGCACACCCGTACTGAACTTGTTTTCAGTTTTTCTGTTGGCTGGTTGACCACAGGCAAGAAGGATAAAATGTCTGAAGTGGAACGGCAATTAAAGAAAGCTGAGGCTGCACAGAGACGGAAAGTGAAGTTAGAGAATGCAGCTAGGGAAGCTGAGGTTTGGCCTTTATATCACGCTTTATAATATTAACTCAGGTGGAAAATGTAGAAACAGTCTCACCTCTAATTTTTAGGCTGGGGCAATCAGAAGAATACTGGGTCAAGATTCCAAGAAGAAGAAGGAAGAAAAACTGAAGCAGCAAAGGGACGAATTGAATAAGGTCTTTGAGAGATTATTATACATTTTTCACTCGTCTTCCTTTTTCTCGTGGCCCTTCACATTTATTCTCATGCAGTATTAACTAAAATATTATGCAGGGGAGGACCGGCTGTCCTGTCACACTGGCACCAAACACTGTCCGATGGGTTGTCGGTCCTAATGGAACCACCGTTACATTTTCTGATGATATTGGTCTGCCTAGTATTTTCAGTCCAGTGCCTTGCAGGTACAGCATTTGCTTTCTTCTAACCAGCCCCAGTTGTGTGTTTTTAATCTTGCTTTTTCTTCTTGAGATTGACAAATTTTATAACTTAGATGGTTTGTGTTATTTAGCTATCCTCCCCCACGCGAAAAATGTGCGGGTCCAAATTGCACGAATGCATACAAGTATCGGGATTCCAAGTCGAAGCTTCCCCTGTGCAGTCTCCAGTGTTACAGGGCAATACACGAAAAGATGCAGCCTCTAATTACTTGCTGATACCATCTCCTCCTGCGCATCATCTTGAACCAACTAATATGTTCGATATAGGTTGCTAGAAGCTGGACAACGGATAACTCATCATTTTGAAGTCAGGCACCCTGAAGCCGGTCATGGAATGGCGTAGTAGCATCGTCACTTGCCAATTTATTTTCCGATCACTAATGCTGTTAGAGTAGGAAATTATGAAAGAACAGATGCTTCGGTGCTTCGATGAGAGATCACATTGTTCGATCCCGTGTTTTCCCGTCTCAATCGAAAAGTTTCTGTTTATGGAGAAGTTGTCGACTTGGGATGAAATATTTCACTGCTTAATGAGCACGTTGAATTCAACATGGAAAAACTTAACGCCTTAAGCTAATTTTGGCGCGAGGGGAACATGTTTGAAAAAGACCGTTCTTAGTGCATGGATAATTAATTAAAATTAGAGCGATGACAAGCATCCATCCTTTTCTCCGTCGCCTCTTTATTTCTGGCCATCTGATTGAATATCAAACGAGAACAACGCATGTAATAAACCGATACATTTATTATATGCGTTTAAATACGCACATAACGATTTGTTGACAGGGAAAATGTTTCTGGGATGCCAAAGCTCACGAATGCAAAACATTTTACGTTTAATTACAACTGTGTACTTTTTAGATGATCGTAATGGATCACAAATACTTCAAATATATGTAAAACTTTAAACAGATGTCTTTTAACTACCGTATAAGATATACGCATATTCTGTTACAAGGGCAGCTCGAATCGTCACTAAATCTACGATCCGTCCATGAAAACAGCACCGTGTCCGCCGGATTTCATAAACTTCTTAAATAGAAGAACCATGATTGCGATGGTAAGTCCAACAGCAGCCCATGTGAACAAGCGATCGTCAGCTGGTTTGTGTACTTTAACTTCTGGCCTTTGTAGCAGCTGACTTGATCCAGTGGAAGGAGCTTCGTCCACCGCCCTTGCCGCTACAGGGGCAGGGTTAGCATTCAGAGGGGCTTCCTGAACTTCTTCGACAATCCTGTCTCCTGCTGTTGGGTTTGCAGGCCCTTCCCCAGCAGTTTCCTCCGCGGGTGTGGATCCAGCGCTTGCGGAACTCTCCTGAACATTGCCTTCCTTGTTTGAAGGATGCTCTTCCGAAGCCTGTGAGGGGCTCAGTTGAGGAACAGGGGGTGCCTTGCTCAGCATATATTCATGAATCTGTGAAATTAATATTACCCATTAGCAAGTTTCTGTCATGAGATCTTCAATTGTGTAATTGCAACGAAACTTTCAGCGGATATTTTACCTCGTCCATTAACTTCTGGCGTTCATCAGTGCCATATCTTGGGGCTGCTGCACGAGATTTGATGGCCAGGGCACGCCTTTCTTCCTTCTTGTATTCCAGTGAACCTAATGCACCATTTGGGTTGGTAGGCATGAAAGCAATAAGTGCAACTAAAGCAGTCCGCACTGCCAACAGACACAGTACATTAGCAAGATGACAATAAAATGTCAATCAGCCAGGAATCAAATAAAATTTCAGTTGTGTGAAACACATCACATCAGCACAGACTGTGTTCTCAATACCGCTTAAAATATCAATAATTGAATAGAGACACGTTAAGAATACAAATAGGAAAAGTCCGAAAGAAGGAACACCATAGTGATATGGTCATTGGACTAAAAGCTGGTTTGGTATTGCTGTGCTTTGAAAAAAAGCTGCTATGAGAATAAGCGGCTGTGCTGTGAGAATAAACTGAAAAAAATCAGCAGAGTGTTTGTTAAACATTTTTATAAAAGTGCTTTTGGAAAAAAAAAGCAGTCTGATAGTGGGTCTTTTCATTAAAGGAGCACTGTAACTCCGTGTGCTTAAAAAAAAAACCAATTTTCCAAAGCTGCAAATAGCAGCTTCAGCTTTTTCCTTTGATTTCAGCTTATTCTCACAACAACTTCTAAAATAAGCCCTTTTTTTTTCAGTTTACCAAACACCTAAAACCCTCACAGCTTTTTTTCATGGGTCCTTTTTTTTAAGCACCTCACTCCCAAACCACCCCTAAGCAAGTCCAGTTCCAACTCCATTTCAAGCTAACCATGACTTAGTGACGTATCTATACAATGTTATGAGTTCGGGTGTGGAATTGGTCTGAGCAATATGGATGCTGCTTAGAAAATGCATATTGGAACATTGCCAAGCCTATCTACGTAAAATAATAAGCTTACAAAATTATAGCTCTTGAGACATTTTGTCTGCATAAACCATACACTAGCACACGCAATACGTAAGAGAGTGTGGAATTTACCGCTCCATGACGGTTGCCAGTGCTCGGGATGATGATTCGATATGCTCAAGCAAATCTTGGTTTGGGTTTCGAAGCGACCATTTGGCTGCAAGTGAAGTAAACAAGTCAACACATCATGACTGAAAAACTATTCCAACCGGCAAACTAGCCCATTAACCTCAAAAAATGCACAACACATTACCGTCAGCAACATGAATGAAGGGGGTTTGAACGGGTACTCCGCCGGCAACTGAATCCGCCCGTGGTAAATCCCACCTTCGAATTCGGTGTCCCTAGGGCCTCTGATTGCAAATTGCCAGTCAAATATGTTCTCCTGCAAACAAACGCTAATCAGCTAACAATATTGATACATTGATAATTAGCATCTAGTCCAAACAATATCCCCAATTTCAAAATACCCCTAAAATTGAAAACCAATTGAAATTTAGAAAGAGAAAAAAAGGAAACAAAAATCAAAATTCAGCTCGAGCCCCCAATATTTAAATTCAATTAAATTCAAAATTCGGGTATCAAATTCAAATCTCACCAACAAAGTGAATTAAACAGAAAAAATTACAAGATCAACAGTCTGAATTTGTAAAATTATCGGGAAAAGTGGGAAACCTCGAGGGGGAGGCTCATGAAATCGTCGGAGGGTTTGGATTGCATCTCCTTAACCTCCTGCAAAATCCGCTTCACCGCCGGGTTCTTCCGGTTGTACTTGTCCTCCGCCATCGCCGTCCGGTCCGATCTGCACCGATCCGATCCACCACCACCACCACAACCTCTCCCGGTTGAATTAAATGAACAAATTATATACGGAATACAAATACGAAGCGGAGAGGAAAGAGAGAACCGGGCGGTGTTTATACGATATTTGTTGGGTCTATGCCACGTCGACTGATGTATGATTTCTGAGGTGTCAGAATATGATTGGGGGTCGTGGCTTTTAGGTAAAAGTGGCGGGTTAATTGGCAAGTCACACAGTAAATCTAATTATATTGGGCCTTAATCTTTAATGGGCCTTAATCCATGTCAAAAGCCTGCTTATGAATAGGTCCAGTCTTATTCTCATTTGAGCTCCTAATCCATGTTTAGGTTATTTATCTTCTGAAAAGCAATAGTTTAATTAGCTTAAGAACTTACAAACATGGAATTGGAAAATTGGGCCAGTTTTGAAGTTTCTTACTTTAGAGGCCAATGTAGGAGGCTGGGCTCTGCATTTAGGCCTATTTGTTCGTAATGTTTAGTTGTCTCGATTTAATTCACACTAGCATTTGCTTACACACTTTATGTGTATGAACACATTTTTTTAGAAATTGAGAAGGAGAGATAGAGAGAGAAAGATAGAGAACGTGGGGGAGTGAGAGGTTTTTGTTTTTTATTTTATTTTTATTTATTTTTTATTTTTTAAATTTTTAAAATTTTAAATATACTTGTAGGTGAGGCTTCAATAAAAAACAGTAAAATTTGGACATGTGAAATTATATTATTGCCCATCATTTTTTTTGTGTAATAGAAGACTAAGTTATCTTTTCACCATCCTTTTGGTTGACAAAAAGGATTTCATTAATTAATAGAGACAATATATTGATTTTGAAATTTATGGACAATGACTTTATTTGATCAACTTTTTATGAAGCAATTGCGAGGCTTGTTCGTATGTCACACACGTTTTAATTTTGTAAAAAATTTGATAAAATTAAACTATTGTTTTAGCAACAATCTGTAAACTAAAATTGAAATTTTCTCCAAATTATAAAGGAAATTTTTATTGATTGCTTACCATAACGTAGGTGTTTAAGTTGCATGCCGGCCATGGTCAGCAGTTGCACCAGGTCCTTAAGTTGGGGAACTTTCTTCAGAATTTGTTTTAATTATTAGGGTTTATAGATCAACGCGGCTTAAGCTTGTTTAATCCTGAACATTTCAGGCTTGATACAGATATGATTTATAAATGATGGTTATGAAACTGAATGATCAATTATGAAATTTGTGCGATTAAATTACGTTAATCACAAGTGGGTGAAAGAGATGTGCTACAGAGGCGGATGCAATACTGACCTTTGGATATTAGGGTTTATACATCATGAATCTTGAAAATTTGATTTTTTTTTTAAAGAGATATTGAAGAAAGTTGAGGGTTTTACCATAAAAACAATTAACAATATGATGAGTAGCCGAACTTACTTATAAGTCCATGTAAGGTCTCTTATTTCGTCAATATGGGATCCATTCTCAACATATATTCAATGATGATTAAAAAATAGGTAAATTACACAGTACCCCTTTCAGGTTTGAGGTCTATTACAATCGCATACAATATTTTCAAAACATTTCACTTTCATACCTCAACTACTATTTTATTTCAATATAGTACATTCGTTACATTTTCTATCAATTGATCCGTTAAATACTGACGTGGTTGCCAGATATCTGCCACGTGGCAAATAAAAATAATTTTTTATTTTTTTTAAAACCTAAATTTTCTCAAAAAAAAAAAAAAAATTGAAACCCACTATCCCTCACCCCCACCCCCTTCCAAGCGACCCACATCCCCATCCCTAACCTAGAATCCAAAAACCTGCAAGAAGAAGAAGAAGAAGAAGAGGGAGAAAAAAGAAAAAGAAAAAAAAAACCCCAGTTCGTCCCACCCTAGCCACTCCTTTCTCCCATCCCCCATCACCCCTCCTAAAAATCCCCCCATCACCCACCCCCAAAAATTCCACCCGAGATTAGGTGGATCTACCACAAAACCAGACCAAAAATCATCTCAAACTCAAAAGTATTTTCAAAACTCACCCACACTAAAAATCACGAGATCCTGGCGGCAGGGGGAAGGGAGGTGGGTCGCAGGTCGTGGTGGGGGGAAGGAAGTTGAGGTATGAAAGTGAAATGATGTTGTATGCGATTGTAATAGACTTCAAACCTGATGGGTATTGTGTAATTTACCCTTAAAAAATTGATTTTTCACTTTTAAGTTTTAAAACATGTCAATAATCACAAATGGTTGGACAAAGAGGTGACGTTAGCGTTGTTCTTTAAAAATTAGGGTTTATACATCAACGCCTTGTTTGAATCATACTATATTGAGAATTATGTATATTAAATTTACATCTGTTGGTGGACAAATGGCATTCATATTTTTGGACTTTGGGATGCAGGCCATATTGATAACATAAAAAACATCGATGTCGTTGTTCTGCCCTTGATTTCCATGCGATATAGGACTCTGTCAAAATTGGGTAATATTAAATTTATAATGATGCTTTCATAAGTAAGGAACTAGGAATAAGAAACTCAGACGATCTTTAATGTGTTCATGTTTGCGATTAAAAAGTGCTTTTACCAACTAGAATTGAGAGCCTAAATCGTGATTTTTCGTGATGACGAATGCTATGTTTTCTTTCGGGGATTTCAATTTCGGTGGAGTTCATGATATATTCGGCTCAAATGAGAAAGGTTTTGATGGCATGGAAGCGGAGAACAATGTCGGGAAACAAGTGAATTTGTTTGGAGCAGAGGAATGGGGGAAGTTGGGGGAGTTTGGTTCCGTTGATTCGGATCATGGATTCTGTGGAAATGACTACTCCTCTGGAGGAAACTTGCTTCCCAAGTATCAACAAGAAGAACAGCAGCAGCCACTGATTCCATACTATGGACTGTATGATGCCATGCAGTTTGATCCTCTCTCAGTGCCATTCCAAGCGTGCTTAGGGAAGATTGCAAAGCTCGAAGACATCCCGAATTTGGTTCCACATGTTGAACCAAAGAAAGAGAAGCGAGACCCTTTCTCCTCATTGGCAGGGCTTGATCTCTTGAACAGCTATGGCAGCGGGTTTAAGCGGTTGAATGGAGAAAGAAATTTTGAGTCAAGCAACTACAAGACGTGCACAGATCAGGTGGCTACAGGCAGGAAGCTTTCAACTGAAGAAATCATGAGGGTGGCAGGAGCAAGGTTCATTCAGACTTATTCTCAAGTGTCTGATGTTCCCTCCATGCTGAGTCATCCGTTTGGATCCTCCTTTTCGGGCCTGTCAGATGAGGAAGCTAGAGACGTGGAGCTTGTTGAGTTCCTTCTTGCTTCTGCAGAGAAAGTAGGTTATCAGCAGTATGAGCGTGCTGGGAATTTGCTTAAACGTTGTGATTCACGTTCTTCCAGTACCGGGAATCCAGTTGAACGAGTGGTTCATTTTTTTTCTGAAGCTCTCCTAGAGAAGATTGATCGAGAAACTGGAAGAGTCGCACCAAAAGTTTTGGGGAACAAGCAGTCATTTGATGTTGATATAGCAATGAAGATTCCTAATGATACCTCCCTGACATGTCAAATCAAGCTTCCCTTTGGGCAAGTAGTACAATTTGCTGGAATTCAAGCCATTGTGGAAAATGTGGCTGAGGCTAAGAAGGTACATGTGATTGATCTGGAAATCCGGAATGGGGTGCAGTGGACAGGTCTGATGCAAGCCTTAGCATCACGTTATGATTGTCCGCTTGAGCTTCTCAAGATAACTGCTGTTGGAACTACTTGTCGAGAATCGGTTGAGGAAACAGGTAAGAGGTTGGGGAGTTTTGCACAAACCATGAACTTACCCTTTTCTTTTAAAATAGTGATGGTAGAAGACATGCTAGATCTCAAAGAAGACATGTTCGAGCTAGATTCTGAAGAAACAGTTGCGGTCTACTCTGAATTCGCGCTGAGGAGCATGGTTCCAAAACCAGATCGACTTGAGTCTGTAATGAAGGTGATAAAAAACATCCGTCCATGTGTAACTGTGGTCACTGAAGTTGAGGCAAATCACAACTCGCCAGTCTTTGTAACTCGCTTTATTGATGCCCTTTTCTACTTCGCTGCGTTCTTTGACTGCTTGGAAACTTGCATCCAACGAGATGATCCAAACAGAAGTATTTTGGAATCAATGTACTTTGGGACCGGAATTAGAAATATTGTGGCAAATGAAGGAGAGGAAAGGAATATCCGAAATGTGAAAATTGATGTTTGGAGGGCATTTTTTGCGCGGTATGGAATGGAGGAGATAGAATTGAGTTCATCGTCGTTGTACCAAGCAGACCTGATTCTTAAGAATTTTCCGTACGGGAATTCTTGCACGCTCAATATGGATGGGAAATGCCTGCTTCTTGGATGGAAGGGCACACCTCTCCATTCTCTTTCTCTTTGGAAATTTCTTTGATGAAATAAATAAAAAGGAGGTTGCCTGTAGTTTTAAATCTCTGACATCTTATTATCTTCTTGGTTGAGCTTCAAATTCTAGTTTCTGATATATATGTTTCCCATGAGGGATTACAGAATCTACGAACATGGGAGAAAGCACCAGAACTGTACTTTTGTCACATAAATTCTAACGAGTGAATTTGTTAACAATAAGTCGAATATTATGGTACTCTTTGAATTTTCCTCTTTGTCCATCGAGATGATGATCGCATTGCTCTAGTTATCATTGAAAGGATGCCCGCGCGGAGAAAACTGAGCTGTTAAGAGAGGCAACTGCTTATGAACACCATAAACATGTACAAGTGCATCCAAACACGTCTCTACGACTATGGATCATAAGTTCATAAGACACTGGATGTATCAATTTATTCCACAGCTATCTAAATTCAAATACCTTAAACGTAATACAATCTGTAGTTTCATGTGTATGCATATTACTCAAAGATCGGATGTTCTTGATTTTTCATGTGGTTTTACAGTTCTTGTATTTCTTCTTTTCTTCCATGAACTCGATTATTCTGTTCTGCGATGCTTTACGAAAGCCATGCTTCCAGTTTGTACTTTCTTCACTCTAATATTCTGTGGTGTATTTTTTTTTCTTGCTTGTCTTATCCCTAATCCTTATTCCTTTATCCTTTTGGTCATAACATGCCGCCTGATGTCCAAATCAAATTTACTTATAGAAATATCAGATCCTTGGTGGTGAAAACTATATCAGCAGAACGAATAATTTGCTTCTTGCTTGGATCATGTCGTCGAGCGCTCACATACTCCTAGCTTTACATGCACAACCTTCGTATGTAGCGTTTGGATGTATTAAACTGTTGCCAGGCTTTTGCGGATCAACAAGAATCATTGGAGGGAAACCATAATTTTTTCACTGTACTAATTAGTTTTCTAAACATATGTCCTAATCCGATCGAGTTACTTAACAAATTCAGTTTTCATACAGCTGTTGACAGACTGGCCTTGGAATTTCACAGAAGGCCAAGCTATATAGCATATCCTACAAATTTTGTCAAAACATGTAAACAAGTCATAGCGTAGAAGGTCAGCTTATAAAGAGACACAAACCCACAAGAACATTCGTACACTTTTCGCACTCCGAAAAACAAGGAAAGCTCAGCTGTATTCTTCTCTTGAAACCATGAGTTGTGCCTCTGGATTGTCAACTGTCGAAGTAATGAGAGTTGCAAGGGAACGGTTCATACAGTTCTCTTCCCGGAGGCAAACAGATGACTGCATGGCTGACCATGTTCTAGGCAGCACTCCCTTCGGCCTCTCAGACCAAGAAACAAAAGATGTTGGGCTTGCGCACCTTCTTTTAGCTTGTGCTGAGAAGGTTGCAAAGAAACAATATGGCTGCGCGAAAAAGCTGCAGAATCTATGTGATTTCCTGTCTTCCAGTAGCGGAAATTCTGTTCAAAGAGTTGTTTACTATTTTTCCAAAGCTCTCCAACAGAAGGCTGACAGAGAAACTGGCAGAAACACATCACAGGGATCGGAAAGTAGAGATGTTGCCACTATGCATGTCGAGGAAGCAATGGCGGCTTTAAGTCCTTCTTTAATGGCATGTTTCCTTGAAGTTCCCTTCTTTCAAGTTACCGAGTTTGCGGGCATCCAAGCGATTGTGGAGAGTGTGGCATCAACCAAAAAGATTCATTTCGTTGACCTTGCAATCAGAACCGGGGCGCACTGCATCGTGTTGATGCAAGCGCTTGCGACAAGATATGAATGCCCAATTGAGATGCTAAAAGTTACTGCTGTTGGAGTGAAATCAAGGAAGAAAATTGAGGACACCGGCAGAAGGCTGGCTCAATTTGCTGAGGCATTGAAGTTACCTTTTACCTTCAAGATAGCCATGGTAAAAGATATCAAAGATATCAAAGAAGGTATCTTTGAGTTAGATACTGGTGAAGCAGTTGCAGTTTACTGCCCTCTACTGCTATCCAGTATAATGAGCCAACCCAATTGCTTGGAATCTCTGATGAAAGCCCTCAGAAGCCTCAATCCGCGCCTCATGGTGGTCAAAGAAGTCGAGGCAAATCACAACTCTCCGATCTTCATAAACCGTTTCTACGAAGCACTCTTCTACTACAGTGCATTTTTTGAGTGCCTCGATGCCTGTATGGACAGAGGCAGCGCGCTACGGATGGAGTTGGAGGAAACATATTTGAGTCTTGATATCAAGAACATTGTTGCGAGTGAAGACGAAGAGAGGGTAAACTGGCGGATGAAAATCGATGGGTGGAGGAGTTTGTTTGGAAAATGTGGAATGGTGGAAGCAGATCTTAGCTTGTCATCCCTGTACCAAGCAGACCTTACGGCCAAACAGTTTGCTTGTGGGAGGAGTTGCACAATGGGGACCAACGGGAAGTGCCTTCTTGTTGGATGGAAAGGAACTCCAATTCTCTCTCTTTCTGTTTGGAAGTTCCATGCAGTCAATGTTAAGACTTTCAAACGTCTCTTGTAGGAGCTATAGCCCTTGTAGAAACAATAATAACGGGAGCATATGTTTTCGTGGTTTTGTTTTCCAAACAAGGTGACATGAATGCATCCTAAGAATCAATGGGGAAAATAGTATAATACGACAGCAGACATAAAAAATTTCAACACATGAACCAAATTAACTAAAGGAAATTATTCTGGAGTAACAGTTTACATTTGACGTACTCTCTTACCACACCCTGCTTCGTGATCTCATACTCATCATAAAATCACGACTTACCCGCTACACGCAACGCCATGACTAAAAATTCTTGTTATATTAACAGAATGTGAGTTTATACCACTAATCGTGTTGATTCTGTTGATACCTGAATGCTAGTGCGTGTACTTTCATCCTCAGCATTCGCAACGGCACCGTCGATCTTTCCGGCTTCACACGCTGGCTGGTATATAAGCCGCAAACTACAGTTGGTTAATAACGTTCGCTACTGCGCCGTTTAAGGGGGAGTTTTGACTTCCGTGAATGACGAGTTTTATAGTAATTGTACCATGCTGCCGCATTGTGTGGGTGAGTCCAAATAATTGTGAGAGCATTTGTACCATTAGTGGTGAGTGTGCTGGTAAAAGCTTGCAAGAAATCCGATCACAAAAGCGGTGATATCGAATTGATATTGAGCGGGTTGGCTGCTCTGAATGATGAGATTGAATGAATGGTTGAAGCAAGAGGCTTCCAATGGGGTGTTGAGCTATCTGGCGTTGTTCCTCAAAAACCAATCCAGGATTGCTGCAGCTTCCATCTTCATTTATAACTCCAAAATTGCTTGCTTAGCACCTAGCAATCACTCATTATTTGTTATTTTTAAACATTGAGTGGTTCTGGTTCACATTAATGTGTTAATTCCTCTTGGTTTAGACTAATGTAAATAAGTGTCGTAAGTAAGAGACTACGTGAAAGAAGATGACAAGAAGTCAGTGTCTCAAACCTGTTGTACATTTTAATTTATATTAGTGATGAATTTTGAATTGAATTTAGATAAAAGAAAGAAGGAAATATTCGAATATTTGTATTGAAACAAAAGGCTTAATTGTAAGCAACAATAACTTATCATTATCAAAGAAGCATGATGTACGTTGAGAGAGAGAGAGAGAGGTTGGTTTTGGTGCTTTGGGGGAGAGAGGTTTTTGTTTGAGGCCACTGGATGTGATGGGCTAGGCCTGTTTGGTATTCTATTTGAAAATTTTCATTATTTCTCAAAATATTTCTTAAGAACATTTCTTGAAAACAATTTTATTTAAGATTCAAAAACTTGATTGATATGTGATTTAAAAATTTTAAATCTAAATAATTAAACTGGACAAAGAGATCCAAAACAAGGAGAGATTTTTCAGTGTGACCATCACACGAGGTGGTACACCATGTATCCCTATATAAATTGTGGGTTATGTGTGTTAAAAGGTTAATAACTTAAAAATTAAAATTTTCCACCACTTGCATAAAAATATGTGATGTATCATCCGTGTTCCCGTCACAACTAAAAATTTCTCCAAAAAGAGGGGTTGAGAGAGAGAAAGAGGAGAGAGGAGGAAAGAAAGTAAGAGATGATTGGAGGAAAGAGAAAGAAGATGATCGAGGAAGATGATCGAGGAAGATGAGTGAGAGAAATAACCGAAAGAATGAAGAGAGTGGATTGGATGAGAGACGAAAAAGATTATAAAAATAAAAAAAAGATAAGGAGGAGAGAGAAAGAAGAAAAGAGAGATCAATTTGGAGTGAGAGGGGAGGAGGGAGAGAAAAAAACATGAGTGAGTTTAAGTTTAAAGACTCTAAAAACTCACTTTTTTTGTTTTTAAAGAATATACTATATTTTTTTGTTTAGTTTTTTAAAATAGTCATACCAAACTTGGAAATTGTTTTTGAGTTTAAAAAGTTGGATTCAAGTTAACTACCAAACAACCAGGCTCATTGGGATATTATTGCAGCAGATGTGAATGAAATAATTAAGGAATTGATGCATGGAACTGAAAACCCTTGGCATATCAATGCTACTCACTTGGTGTTGATTCCAAAGGTTCAAAATCCAGTGTATGTGTCATAATTTCGCCCCATTAGTTTATGCAATTATTCCTATAAGGTGTTTTCCAAGGTGTTGGCCAACCGCCTCAAGCAGATTTTGCCAAACTTGATCTCTCCTACCCAAAATGCTTTTGTGGCAGGTAGGCAAATTCAAGATAATATTGGTATTGCGCATGAGCTTTTCCACTTCCTAAAAACGAGAAAAGCGAAATGCAAATTTGAGTTGGGAATCAAGTTGGATATGCACAAAGCCTACGATAGAGTGGAATGTGATTTCTTAATGGCGGTTATGGAGAAATTGGGCTTCAATGACAGTTGGAGAAAGTTGATAATGAGCTGTATTTCTTCGGTGAACTTTGCCATCTTGCTCAATGGTCACCCGGGTTCAAAGTTCGCGCCATCTCGTGGTCTTAGGCAAGGTGACCCATTATCCCTTTACTTTTTCCTCTTGGTCAGTGAAGTCATATCGCTCATCATTCAACAACCCTGCGATAAGAAGTGGATAAGAAGGGTGCAGATGAATCCATCGGGTCCAAATATTTCCCACATTCTTTTTGCAGATGATACTCTCATCTTTCTCGAGGCGGAGGAAGGGAATTGTAAGCACCTTATTCAGTTGATTGATGACTTTTGTGCGGCTTCTGGATAACAAATCGATAAGTCGAAATCCAGTGTATGCTTCGGCTCCAATGTGCCTGTGGAGGTCACACAACATCTGGCGAACATTCTTGGTATGGAGAAGGTCGGGGATCCGGGAATTTACCTCGGGGTTCCGGCTATGTGGGGCCGATCAAAGAAAGCCGGTCTTGCCTATGTAAAAGGGAGGCTACTGGAAAAGCTTAAAGGTTGGAAAAAGTCTACTCTTTCACAAGCAAGGCGGGAGATCTTTATTAAGGCAGTGGCATAAGCAATCCCGGCTTACCCAATGAATTTGTTTAAGTTTCCCACATCTTTTTGTAACGAAATGGATGCCATGATTTCGAAGTTTTGGTGGGGACAAAAACAGGGTGAAAACCGGATACACTGGGTTTCTCGCGAGAAACTGGGATGATCAAAGGAGGAGGGAAGTCTTGGTTTGAGAAGCTTTTCGATGTACAATGATGCCCTTTTACCCAAGCAGTGTTGGAGGTTGATTATGGAGCCAAAATCTCTATAGGCGTCGGTGCTTAAGGCCCGGTACTTTATGAATTCCTCTTTCCTCGAGGCTAAGCGGGGTGGGAGAGCATCTTGGATTTGGTCTAGCCTCCTTGTTGGAAGGGAGATCCTATGCGATAGGGCTCACTAGCAGATTATGGATGGTAATGATACTCGGGTCTGGGTGGATAGGTGGCTCCCTTCTATTCCCCTAGGTAGACTTTCCCCTTTAAGGACGGTGCCGGTATAAAAAAATCTAATGGTGAAGTCCTTAATTTGCCAGGACAGTGGGGAGTGGGACATTGATTTCTTAAATTCGTTCTTGGCGGAGGCAGATTTTGAGGCGATCTTGGGGATGTAAACTGGTGACCTGGTGCTTAAGGACATGCTAGTATGGCCCTATGAGAAGAGGGGGTCATATTCCGTCAAATCTGGTTACTATTGGAACTTGAATCATAATATTGGAAGGATCCATTCACCTGTCACGTCGACCAATTGCCCCGGTGCTATATGGAAGATCATTTAGAAGCTAGAGGCACCGCCGAAAATTAGAAACTTCATGTGGAGGACTATGCACGGGGCTATTGCTACTATGGCGAACTTATATCAACGTCGGTCCTCTCCTTCTCCGTTGTGTCCCATTTGTAAGTCACATGATCAGTCAATAGAACATATGTTTCTTAAATGCCTTTGGGTGGATGGTGTTTGGTTAAGGAGTACGTTGAATATTAGAGCGAACTGGCTGCAGGATTCAAACTGGGCAAATTGGCTTCTTCAGATGTTTAAATTGGCTATTGGGTTGATGGAGGTACAGATTATGCTCTTATCTTACATAGCCTTTACTTGCTAGCATATTTGGAAATCAAGATGTGACTTCCTATTGAATAATCTAATTCTTAACCCAAGGAGGGTTTTAGCAGCTATTTCCCTCTCCGTCTTGGCTTTTAAATAATATATTCCAGCACCAAGCGTTAGGTCTTTACCCTGCCCAAGGAGTGAGGATGAGGTAGTCCAATGGTCCCCACCGATTCCGGGTGCTATTAAGATTAATGTTGACGTAAGTTGGGTGGCAAGTGATGGGATGGGTTTCACAGGGGTGGTGGCGAGGAATGAGGAGGGTCGTTTCCTGGCGGCTTGTAGGTACTGTATAAAGGCTAATGGTGTTGCAATGGCGGAGGCTTTGGCTATTTTGCATGGGTGCAAGCTAGGGGCTAATAGAGGGTGAGACTCGATAATTGTGGAATCGGACTCACTCGAATCAATTTCTTGCCTTAGAGATTTGGCAAGGAAGGGCAGTTGGGATGCTTTTCCCATTCTTAGGAAGTGTTCCAGTTTGGGATCGGTCTTCCAAGATTGCCGTTGGTCTTGGATCCCAAGACTGACCAACTCGGCTGCGGATTTCTTGGCGTCGCGGCATTGTAGGGAAGTATGTGACTTAATCTGGGTCGATTAACCCCCATCTTCCTTGGTTCATGTTTTGTGTAATGATGGGCTTCTTTGCCCCTCTTGATTGTTTTTGGTAGTGTGAGAAGAGACGCTTTAGCATTAGATGCGGCGTCATGATTTTTGTTCTACCTTCTTGCACTACTGTTTCTGTAGCTTGTGTTTGTGCTTGTTTGCCTCGTTGTAGGCCTTCTTGTAATCTTTTGGCATCTTTGCCCAGATATTGCATTTCCAATTTACAAAAAAAAAAAAAAAAAAAAAAAAAAAAAAAAAAAAAGCCCTTACTTTTGTGTGGGTTGGACAAGCTATCTGATCATGATCTCGTACGTTAGACTTGATTGGACCATGAAACTGTGTTGTTTGCTTATTTTTGT